CGACCACGGTAAAAACACAAAAGTGGTACACGGTCAGTAAAAGGTTGAGAACCACTGGTGTAAAAGATCTGTCCAAGCTGTTAATTGTCATATTGATATTCCTTTCCAGTTGTTATAACCTCGTATTGCTGTTCATTCTTGTTTACAACTTGAATCGGAACTTCATATCCACTTTCATCTGATGTTGGTGTGTAGTTTTCATATGTTGTTCGTTCATGGACAGTTGGCTGCTGATGTTGAATGCTTCCCATTTCCATTGAATCTTTGTTCTTTGGTTTCTTCTTGTTGTTGTTGCAATACCTGGTGTTTGATAGAAATATAAAGTAAATTGGTTTATTTATTGATTGGGCTGGGATTTTCTGACTGCTTCCATTTTTGACATTTGCTTTATTTCACCACTTGATATATTAGTTGATTTGCTGGTATTTGGGTTGAAGCTGCATTTATAAAACAAAGGAGTCAAAGGCCTTGAGTTTGAATTTCATTTCTTAAAATTTAAACTTTTTCAAGGAAACTTGAATTGCTTTTAAATTATTGTTAATTACTGTAATCAAGTTATTGCTGTGAAAATTCACTAATACCAGAGTCGAATTTTTCACAGCGTATTTAGAGTGCAACTTTTTTTCATCTCATATAAAGGGCCAGGCTTGTATATTTGACTTGTCAGTCCTCGTAGGAATAGGGTGCCAATGATATTCATTTAATACCTAATATTTATCTTTACCTTTGTATAATGAACATCAACAAAGCTCCAATAATCAAACCCAAAATTCCTGATACTGGAATAGCAATGATCAATGATGTTTGAGAATCATTGAGTCGTATGTTTTCAGTTGGGCATTGAATGTTGTAATTAGTTGCTTCTGTGGTTGAGTCAGTATCTTGCTTCCTAGATGTTGATGTGGATTTTATACGAGTTGTTGATTTTGCTTGCTGAGATGTTGTGGCTAAATTTGAAATATATTTTTGGTTCGAATGTCAGGTTATTTTGACTTTAGAAAAGTTTTAGAAAAAGACTCACTTGATTCAGGTGTGGTTGTTGGTCTGCAATTCACCACAAGGTATTGTATTGTGAAGTATTTAGTGTAACCAGCATGGTTTCCTGCATTGTATTGTATCCTGTATGGGCTCCCTCCAGCTCTATTCCATGGAATGATTGAATCACAGGTGTGATTTGCAACTGGAATTTTCTCTCTGATTTTGCTGATGTTGCAAATGGTTGATGCAGTTGCAAATGCAAGACAGTAGTTGCTTTGAAATTCACATTTGTATGCATCAGAGCCTATAAAAGTATTGATACAATTATGTATTTACTAATGTGTTTTTTTATTGTTCCTTCATATTAGAATAGCATTAGTAAAATAGTATAATATAGCTTACTTGGAAATCTGATAAATCCAGAGCATTCTGTAATTCCACTACCTGTTGTTATTGGAAGTGAAACATTTTGTAACAACAGAACAACTGCAGTTTCATGATCTGTGTCCATACTTATCGGTATCTTCCAAACACAGTTGCAGTTGTATTCATTACGTGTTCCATGTGTTATATTCTTGCTCTCTGTTCCAAGTATGATATTGGAGCAATCCTTGCATTTTGCTGCTTCATTCAGACCAATTTCGAGTGCTAGAAAAATATCTAATATTCAAAAATACAAATTTTGAATATTGTGAGTTGAATAAGTCTTCTCTCCACGGTATATGATCTAAATATTCACTATCCAATTTTTCAAACATTGGGAAATTGAAGAGTGTAAGCTATCAAAATTAATATATTTTTGGTTGAATAAGGGTGAGAATTTGATTGATAAATATTTCCGAAGTGAATATCAAAAGTCGTTTCTTTGTCAAATTTAAAATACAAAAGTGTTCATGTAAGTGAGATCTCACCAATTATCTGCATAAACAACCATTCGTAATTAAAGAGTTTTGAATGTTTCCACATGTTGAGTTTATCTTCAGCAACTTCCTTAAACTTCTCTTTGCTTTTTTTAATCACCTAATTCATTACACAGTACTAACATAGATAAAGACAAAATCTAACTGACAAAATACAAGACCTGTACCAACACTTAATGTAACAAGCTTCTGATTTATATTCAGAATCTCTCCTTGTTAATGTGAATCAGTGAATATAAAACACCTCTTTCTGGTTGCTACTACGTAATGATTACTGACTTATATTAATATTATGATGAAGAATGTAGGCGAAATATCATTACAACATTGTGATGATCTTTTTGTGTCATGTATTATCTTGACATTTTGTAATCTTTGTCATTTGTGTAGGAGTGTGGGAATTTCTTTGTTTATGGGTATTATTTTGAATTGCTAATATACTTGCTCATTGATATATCTATTAATTACTCGGCTCTCCAGAAGTATATGTACCAATATGGAGGTAACTAATTTTGTTCGCCTACTTTACATCAAGTTGTGTAAAGTGACTGAAACATATGGGCAGGAGGTATATTCACTTGGCTAACACAGACAGTCCCAAACTCGTAATAAAACTAAAATAAGGAAAATCTGAATAAAATTATGGCCTAACCCTAACCTGGTACATATACTACGGGAGTACTGATTACTCAACTATAGGACTGGATCCTGTTCAGAAATAATAAAATACTCTTGTAGGCCATTTTGAAAGAAAACATTTGAGATGTCAAACCTACTGTAAAGTTTAAGTGAGATTCCCTTGTCAACCACATTGCTGGAAAACGAAAGCCAAACGAAACTTGAAATTGTCTTTTGCGTATTATTGGAACATTTTGTAAATTATCAGTACAGGTTGCGTGAGACTAATTTCCAATCCTTTCTCATAGCCTTTGCGCTAGTGGAATCGTATTCGGATAATGCAAGAATGCTGTAGCAGGAATAAAAATACCATACTATGCAATTCAAGAGTCTGATTTTATTTTTTTCGTCGCAATCTGTTTCTAAATATAAATATTTAACTCATTATTTAGGTCACAGTTATTTTCAAACAAATTTATTTATCGTCACATTTAACATGCATGATTGTTCTTTTCTTGTCATTGTTGTAAACTGCTTGTCTGAGGAAGTCTGATTTCGGTCAGATGAAACGTTACAGAATTATATCTGTTTTAGTGTGGACCAGGACTCTTGAGTTGCATATCTTGTAAATTATTTATTTCAGTCTACTAATAATGTCCAAACTTATTAATTCTGGATAATTAATTCAAACAGTTTCCCTCTATGACTAATAATAGAAACTAAAATTATTAGCAAGGCCAGCTGATGATTGTTTCATCAAATACTTCTGATTATAAATATTTATTGTAACTTACAATGAGCATTGTTAATTCTGGTATATAGGAAGTTGATTTATCACTCATGGGTGAAAAAAAGTGTCAGAATGTCGAACGACAGTCAGGAAATATGCCATATTCAGATATTCTTACATTGCAGAGTTGCTATTGGTAATATTAACAATTATTTTTTCGCATATCAGTTTATTAGTTCAAATTATAGTAATGTAGCTTGATTAAGCATTGAATTCATGTGTCTTTTATTTCGGGTTGGAGCTATATCTTGAGTCACCATAAATGGTAGATTATTTACCTATTGAGGTCAAATTTATTTTTGTTTGCTGTAAACTGACAATGAGGAATTGGTAAAGTTGGGAACTGGATAGATTATGCTTTTTTGAATTCAGCTGTTTTGTTTTTTTGAGTACGTAAGGTTTTGATCAGAGTCATAGAGTTTCATTATGATTTGTGATTTCTGCCGCTGATAACTCTTACTTTCGTGAGTAAATTTCCAAAATTCACTTTTTTATTTATTATTTTGTGCTGAGCTTTTATAGGAGTGAAAGTTTTCTGGGAATATAACTTTCCCTCTTACATTGAATAAATCTTCTTTACTAACCAGACTTTTGCACTTTGAAAACTGCCAAACTTTATTAGACATGAATGTATAATTTATTTCATTCATTTACAGAATCTGTGTTGTGTGACAACATACTTGTTAGAATAGGAAGTTGAAAAAGGAAACAAATCAGAAATCAGTCGAGTCATTCTTAGAATGTAGAATCATTTTCAAATTTAATGCTATTAAAATACTTGTAAAAATACCGAAATTTTTCAGTTATTAGATGTTCATAAATAAGAGATGGTTGTAAATTAAACTTCTCCTCAACAGTAATAAATTAATTAATTATCAAGTGGTTCTTGAGTGTTTGTTTGTAATTTCACTTTTGAGTTAGTTTTATTGTGAGTAGGCTGTTGTTGTCTTAAAAACACACCGCTAGTCATCTTGACATCTCAAGCAAAAATTTATTGGTCCATTTGTCCCTACTCATGCACACTCACTCAGTGGGTATCTATATTAGTTGGATATGCTCAGTGGCGGAATTCAGCCGGTTCGCACCGGTTCTATAAAACCGTCTTACAGAATTTTATGAGATCAGTAAACTGGTTAGCATTACTGGTTACTGTCAATGGATTTTTGCATCTTATCTGCTGCAACTAAACTTTTTCAGTCATTTTTAAATTTCATTTGAAGTTCAGTTTTAAACCTATCCCATACTACTAACTGCTTCAAAACTGCGAGATTGTGGGTGAATAGGTAATCACAGCATTTTCTGGTGTCGTGATACTTTTTGTCGTGACTCCCATTAAATATTGTTTAATAATGTTCAGCACTCAATATTTTACAATAAATTTATTTATGTTATATTTAAACAATAGCAAACTGATTATGGTTTGAACAAAATAAAACACTAAGATATTTTAAAAAGACATGCAGAAACAGTCGCAAATATTAGTTTGAAAGTGGTAGGTTCCCTGGAATGTCCAAAATCAATTATCGGTATTCAAATCGATTCGATAATGATTATATTTCGTCTACTGTATTTGAATTAACAAAAAAAGTTATCCATATTTTATCAGTCTTATAAAGCCAAAAACATGTTTATATGTATAGAATTGATATTTTTCTCAATCTCATACATGGTTGAAAATTATATTGTTGGGATAGTTTCACTTGAAAAATTATCAATTTCACCAATTTAAGCATGTATTATTTGTTTTTCTCTTTGCCATGATATGAAATTCTTTTCTGTTTTTTTTTTACTTCTATCAGAAGTCAACACACAAGATTAATAATGCATGGGTCTAGAAATAATTATAGTAGGCAATGAATATTTCTCCAAAATTTAATCAAAGAATGGTCTCAAGCTCTAGAAGTTTGAAAGACTTAAAAAAAACTGAACTGCTTACTAAAAAGACTATTTTTTGTAAGTGTCAAATGACATTCTAAGGGACAGTGTTTCTAGTAGATAATGACTTGAAATAATTGAGCACAATGCTATTAGGAATACAGCTAGGACACGTAGGAGGAGGAAGTTCATTTCAAACGCTGAAGTGCGTACTGAAATGTTTTAGCCAAAAAATTGTTGTTGAAAGTAAAACCTGTACAGAGTGGAACTATCATAGTTTCCTAAATTCAGTAGTTACGCCTTTTGCTCATAATTTTTGATGTCTCAATGTTAGCTTTTTTAACGCAATTGTTAGCATGACTTTATAACCCATTATTAGTTCAGCGAAGCTTGAAGAGCTAAATAGTGATCAAATTTTTCAAGATATTCTGAAACATAATCGTTCATTTTTATTCATTATGAGCACACTTTCATCTAATGACAAGCGAAAATATGACAAGAAGGGGTACAGACAATCCCTCTCAGATTATTGCTTTTTATGGACACTCAAATATATTAATATACTTACTACTCATATTTAGTTCAAAACCCTATCCTTCATATATTATGTGGAGAATTCTGATAAAACAATGACCTGATTAAAAAAACTACAACACAAATTATAAAATCTTCCACAATTTGTCATTGCTGCAGTCAGAAGTCAAAATGAATTGGACTTCAATACAAATAAATATTTTAGTTCTTCATGAGAGAAATCCATAACTTGTGTTTTTTTCTAAAAAACACGAGTTTTTCAATTCAAAAGGTTTGGATGAATTTATTTCACTCATTCACGCATTTTCATATTGGTATTCTGCTCCGCTTCTCACAACCTCATATTGTTGTTCATTCTCGTTATCAACTGAAATCGGAACTTCATATCCACTTTGTTCATTCTTGTTATCAACTGGAATCGGAACTTCATATCCACTTTGTTCATTCTTGTTATCAACTGGATTCGGAACTTCATATCCACTTTCATCCGATGTTGGTATGTAGTTTTCATATGTTGTTCGCTCATGGACAGTTGGCTGCTGATGTTGGATGCTTCCCATTTCCATTGAATCTTTCTTTTTCGGTTTCTTGTTTTTGTTGCAATACCTGGGTTCAAAATATTAATAAAAATATTTATTAGCATATTGTTCAACCACATTCAAACGAAACCTTGAAATGGCACCGAATTTTCAAAACAATATTCAAAGTGAAAGTATTGTGGAGAAATTATTGCTACTATGTGTTGTTTTACTTGTTACCTTTGTATGACAAAGATTGACAAAGCTCCCAAGATAAGAGCAACTATTCCTGACAATGGAATTGCAATTGTCAATAAATCAGAACGTCCATTGGTTCCCGTGGTAACTGTGATGTTTCTGTCCAAATCAGTTGTTGAATGAGATTCAGTTCTGTCTGAATCAGATAGTGTTGTTTGCTGCTCAGCTTCACTAACTGAAATTTATGAAGTTTAGTTTTTATTATGATTGTGTATTGGATAGTTGCTATTGTTTTGACAAATAAAATTTCATTACTTTTGTCTTTTGTATTTGGTCCAGCTTTCAGTGTTGTCGAAATTTCCGTTTGTAGACCGTTCAGCTTTGTAGTCTGTTCAGCTTTGAGTGTTGTCGAAATTTCTTCTGGATATTTTGTTGTTGTTTCCCATCCATTTGTTGTTGCTGTAATTTGAAAGGAAAGTTTATTTCAGGATTGGATGTTTTACTTTTGAACTGAATTTTTTATGCTGTTTAAGATTTACTTGGTTTAGAAGTGGTTGTTCCAAGTATTGGATTTGAACAATCAGTGCAGGATGCCGCTTCATTCAGACTGATGCTTAGTGCTATAAAGAAATAAGTTTTTACAATTACAACATTGCGAAATCCATCCAATTTTCATCAGTCTCATAAAGCCCAAAACAAGTTTATATGTATAGAATTGATATTTTCTCAATCTAATACATGGTTGAGAATTATATTGTATAAAACTCCATTACTCTTCTTTTTAAACAATTTAGAAATCTTTTATTAATGAAAATCTAATATTAAAATTATTATTTCATGAATGACTTTGGATGAGAATTCATCAGGCTACTATGTTTTTGGGTAACAAATGTACATTTATTTCTTGATTTGGAACTATTTATGTAAGTGGGATCTCACCAATTATCTGCATAAACAACCATTTGCAATTGAAGAGTTTTGAATATTTCCACATGTTGAGTTTATCTTCAACAACTTCTTTGAACTTCTTTTTGCTTTGTTTCTTCAATCACCCAAATCATTACACAGTACTAACATAGCTAAAGACAAAATCCAACTGATAAAATACAAGACCTGTCTCAACGCTTGATGTAACAAGCTTCTGATTTATATTCAGAATTTCTCCTTGTTAATGACTATGAAACACTTCCCTCTGGTTTCCATTTTGTAATGATTACTGCCTTATATTTATTATTATAATTAGGATGTGGGCGAAATATCATTACAACATAGCGATGATCTACTTGTGTCATGTATTGTCTTGGCATTTTTGTTTGTCATTTGTATAAAAGTGTAAGATTGTAAGTGCTTGATGGACATTATTTGGAATTGCTAATATACTTACTCATTGATATATCTATAGATAACTCGTCACTCCAGAATTGTATGTACCAATATGGAGGTACTTAATTTTGTTCTCCTACTTTACATCAAGTTGTATGAATTGATTGAAACCTATGATGTGGTATATTCAATTGGCCAACACAGACAGTCCCCGAACTTGTAATAAAACTGAAATAAGGAAAATCGAAAAAAATCATGGCCTAACCCTGGTACATATACTACGGGAGTACCGATTACTCCACTATAGGACTGGGTCGTGTTCTGAAATGAGAAAATGCTTTCGTAGGCCATTTTGAAATAAACCTCTTGAGATGTCAAAGATACTGTAAAGTGATATTTCATTCTTAGCCACATTGCTGAAAAACCGTTTGTGGAAGATTTTTAGTCAAACGAAACTTGAAAATGTCATTTCTGTAATATTGCGACATCTTGTAAATGGTGTGCTAGGTTACGCAAGACTAATTCCCATCCTTCTTCTATGCCCTCTATGCTTGTGGATCCGTATGCGTATAATGCAAGGATGCTGTAGAAGAAATGAACATTACTATACTTTCCAAGATTCCTGATTGTTGTAAACTCCTTGTCTGAGGAAGTCTGTCTTTGGTCAGATGAAACGTTACAGAAATATTCTTGTAAATTGTTGTTCTTTTATTTCAGTCTACTAATAATGTCTAAACTTATAAATCCTAAAAATTTAATTCAAACTAGTTTCTCTCTGCTAAAATTATTAGCAATGCTCACTGATGATTGTTTCATCAAATACTGCTGATTATAGATATTTATTGTATTAAGTACTATTAGCATCGTTCATTCTGGTTCATAGGAAGTTGAATTATCACTCATAGGTGAAGAAATTGTCAGAATGTCAACCGACAATCAGGAAGTATGCCATATTAAGATATCCAGCCATCTTCTGTCTATAATTATTTATTAGGTAAATTTTTATTAATGGGTGTTGTTTTTGGGGTGGGGCTATATCCACAGTCACAAATGGTAGATTAACTCACTCATAGTCACATTTATTTACCTTTTTATTGAGAGAAGTGGGTAGTGGGCATTACGCAATGGGCAAACGATTGCGGTTATAGCATATTCTATAATACTCTAGATAAGTTCGAGGTATACCATACCACCTTCAAGCATGGAACACTGATAATGGTAAAGGATGTCGACATGACCCAACCGGCAACTTACACCACGCACATAGAGCTTCGATGCGACAGTGTTGAAATTTCGGTAGATAATCGAATTGTCAGAGTCATAAATGTATATGCGCCCGCACAAAGCGGATCGCTAAAAACCGAATTTTTCAAACAATTAATCGGGGTGTTGGAACACTGTTGCGATCTCAACCAACTGATCGTTGTTGACGATTTCAATGTGGTGCTCGAATCTGATGACGTCACAAACCAAAAAAACTTTAAGATGCTGCCGCCCAAAAAGCTATTCAAAAACTTTATTCAATGCAACAACCTCAGGGATACTTATAGAAATAGATACCCAAAGAAGCGAATTTTCACTTTCTATTTCCTTGAGAATGGTCGGAGAATAGATCGGATTTATAATTCAACAAACTTGGACAGCGCAATAACCGCAATAACCCACCTACCCAACACCGTATCGGACCATCTTCTATGTCTGACAATAACGCTCGAACAGACAAGAAAACTTACATGGGAAAGGGGATCATGGAGAAATAATACTACGTTATACCATAATCAGACGTTTAAAAACATTATAAAAAAAACATACCAAGCCGCGACCCTTGACCTAGAAAACTTCGACACCCTACAAGAATGGTGGGATAATGTGAAACTTAGAATAAAAAAACAATCAATAGCATATTCAAAAAATTTGGCCCGACACAAAAGAAACGATATCGCGCTCGTCCGTAAAGCTCTCCTCAAACTTATTGACGAAGGGAAACGAGAAAACGCCATAAAAATTTGCAACTTAAAATCGCGACTCAAGACCTTTCAAGAACAAGAAAATGCGCGAGACCTAATGATGGCGAAGATGAAAGACCTAGAAGAAGGCGAAAAGCCGACATCGACCTTCTACGAGAGAATTAGGAAAAGAGCAAAAAAGACGACAATTGACCAACTAATGACCGACAATCAATTGGTGGTATCTGGTCAAGAAGAATTTGTAACAACTGTGGAGAACTTCTACACGGACCTATGGGGGAAGGAGAGCGAGACGCAACAATCAAGCCAAAACTACTATATATCGCTAATGAGCCAGACAACAATAGCAGAGGACGAAAACACCACTTTGGAAAGGCCTATTACGGAAGAAGAGGTATATAATGCCATCAAGTACATGCCAAACAATAAATCGGCAGGGCTCGATGGCCTTAGTAAAGAGTTTTATATCACGTTTTGGAATTTAATTAAAACTCATTTTATTCAATTGATTAACAATATTTTCTATTTCGGCCATCTACCAAATTCTGCTAAAACTGCGAAAGTTAAACTTATATACAAGAACGGCGACGAAAAATTACTCAAAAATTGGCGACCAATAACCACCTTAAATACGGACTATAAAATTATTTCGAGAATTTTGGTTAAGCGCCTTGAGCCAATTCTGGATAAGATCATAGGCAAAACTCAAAAATGTTCACTCCCCCTAAGGAGCATCGAGGACGTGCACTACAATATGGACGCAATCATAAGACACTGTAAAATGAAAAATATCCCCGGGGCGATAATTTTAATCGATAACCTAAAAGCTTTCGACAGGGTCAACCATGGTTTTCTGTTTAAAATTTTGCAACAAATTGGAATTGGAAATAGGGCTTTTAATTTATTAAAAAATATGTATACAGGAATCAGCAGCAAAGTGGATGTAAACGGGAAGCTATCGAATGAAATAACAATTCGAAGGGGAATTGAGCAAGGATGCCCGATGAGCATGCTTTTGTACGCCTTGAATACTGAACCCTTCGCCAGATCTATAGTGCTCAATAGAGATATACATGGGATAAAATTAGGAAATTTCGAGCATAAGTTGGACCAATACGCCGACGATGTAACCTTTGCAGTTCGCGACTATGCATCAGTTAGCGAAATATTCAAAGAATTAAACCATTTCGAAATAGCAACTGGCCAAAAAACAAACATTGAGAAGACAGAAATACTGTGCCTTACAAAAACCTCGCACCAATTAATTTTCAACTCCCCATATCGGACATACATAAAGAAACACACCACAATCCTTGGCATACAATTCGGAGAAATAGGGCTAGAAAAAATGTGGAATGATATTGCTAACAAATTAACTTGGTATGCTAAACAGATTATTAAATATTCAATATTAATGTCTGTAATTATATTCCATGCCCGAGTAAAGGACGTCCCACAGAAAACCGTCAAAAGGATTCAGAGCGCCTGCTATAAATTCCTATGGTACCCGGAACGAATTGAAGCCATACGGAGATCAACTTTACAAAAAGCGTGGAATAAGGGGGGGATCAACATGATTGACCTAACCGCAAAAATCAAAGCTTGCAAAGTGGAAAAAATGAAACAAATTGTACATGACCGCACCAAAAATCAATTCTGGCAAATGGAGGTTTTATTTTCATTAGGATCCAAAATTAAAGTTCTCAACAAAAACCTCTATAGTAATTCTAGGCCCCATAGCTTAATCACCCCAAAACATTGGACCAATATCTTGGACATCTTCAAGGAAGTTGGCCTTTCTCGAGACGAGTGGGAAACCACGCGGCATAGAGACCTATACCACAAATTAAGGATAAACCACATCGAACAACAAAACGATCCAAATTGGAATAAAGTCCATCTCCGCGAAAGATTCTTCCGATCCAGCTTCACCAACAGCGAAAAAATAGTATCCTACCGAATATATCAGGAAGGATCACCTCATAACCTCATAACAAAGTAGTTTGAAGTTCGCAGATCGCAAGTTCCGTAATTTGACAGTAGGCGTAAAATTTAGCGAGGTTTGATAATAAAATAGAGGCGGACAAACAGCAAAGTGTTGTCCAGTTCTTTCAAAAGAAACCGAACCGGGAAAACTAGGTTAGTGGTGTTGACAGGAGAGAAGAACTGTTACTTCAACTTTACAACATGCCCCGAAACGAGTGTGCAGCAATATTGATATGGATCACGCAGAAACAAATAAAAAACGAAAAGAACACTTTATTAGGCAGTATGATGAGAAGTATGATGGAACTAGGTTTCACTATTGATCCCAGCAGCAAAAAAGTAACACTTGCCAGGTGCCTAGTCTGCGCCAAAATTCTTTCAAACGGCGCAATGAAACCCTCAAAACTAACGAAAAACACAGCAGCAAATTTCTCATTATATTGGATTATCTTCTTTTGTACCGCCTGCTTTAGTCGTAATTGCATTTTTTTGATTATGTTTTGTGTTCATGACATTTTTGGTTAATTTTGAAAGTCCGCCAGTCCACAAAATTTGTTTTGAAATTTTACCGGTCCGCGAACACCAAGTTCTATTATTCTATATTTTTAAATTGGGTTTGTAATCAATGTGTTCTTAATTTTTTCCCCTTTTATTACCGGGGGCGATTTCGATATGCAGAGTGCTTTGAGAGGAGGCGACAGTATGTATAAGTTTGAAAACCACTGATCTAAACACCTATGCAAAGATTTTGATTGGTCCATTGATTATCTACTCTTGCACACTCACTCACAGATCATCTGTATTAGTAGAATATGCTGAGTGGCTGCTTGGGCTAGAATTTTTCCCAGATAAGGCACTGCATGGAAAAGTTCATGGAAAATATTAATTAGAGTCAATTGTATATTAATATAATTTAATATGTTAAACGTTGTTGAAGAATATATCACAGTTGCAAACAACTTCTAAATTGTTCCGGAGTGCTGATCAAAGTTTAGTTTGTTTTTGCCAAAATTCATGTTACAAGATTTCTGTGGCATAGTTTCGTGACTGTGAAAAAAATATGTCAAAGCTTTCAATTGTCATATTGATATTCCTTTCCAGTTATTATAACCTCGTATTGTTGTTCATTCTTGTTATCAACTTGATTCGGTACTTCATATCCACTTCGTTCATTTTTGTTATCAACTGGATTCGGTACTTCATATCCACTTTGTTCATTCTTGTTATTAACTTGATTCGGAACTTCATATCCACTTTCATTTGATGTTGGTGTGTAGTTCTCATATGTTGTTCGTTCATGGACATTTGGCTGCTGATGTTGAATGCTTCCCATTTCCATTGAATCTTTGTTCTTTGGTTTCTTGTCGTTGTTGTTGTTATAAAATCTGGTGTTTGATAGAAATATAAGTTAATAATAGATTTTGATTTTGATTAATGATAGATTTTTTCTAAACTTTGAATTAGATTGGTAAAATTACCTTGATTCAATAGAAAATAGACATCAGGCGATAGAATCAGTGGGTATTTTTATTATTAGTGGAGTTGAGAGTTGAGGTCAAAGTCTTGTCAACTCATGGTTAGCAGCTTGAGTTTGGACTGGGTTAGAATTTTGATCGTCTTACAATCAGAAGATGGAAATATAACTGACTTAACAGTAGTGGGTGGAATACTTTGTTGATATTTTGTATCCAAGTTCAAGTCATCCAGTTCAGCTCGGCGGTGTCGCCAATCGTGCTAAGCGTTAGGAATACGCTCGCCACCGCATCTCTGATTACCCTTCGTGGGATTGCAGGTTCGAATCCCATGCGGGGATGATCATGTGCGAGAGGATTGCTGGACTCCTCGGGTGGTTCACATAACCGCTGGTCATTTACGGCTTCCTCCACCATCAAGTCCATGCTTCCGAAAACAAATACCTGGCTTACTAATCCCATACCCGACCTGGACTGGTAACCGGACGAGAGGCCGTGGTTCGTCATATGATTAAGCCGTCTTATCGGCTTTCCTCTCCCCCGGAATAAATATATAAATCCTATTCTATCCAAGCATACTTGAGTAACTGTGCACATAAATAGTATTCATATAATTTATAACATCTATGCTTACCTTGATATTATAAACATCAACAAAGCTCCAATGATCAAACCCACAATCCCTGACACTAGAATAGCAATGATCAGTGATGTTTGAGAATAGTTTGGTATTGTATTCTCTGATTCTTCTGTATTCTGTGATACTTGGGTGCTGGTGCATTCACATTCTTCATTGGGACATTGAATGTTGCCAGTGGTTCTGGTTGATTCAGTGGTTGAGAATGTTTCATAAGATGATGTATCTTTTGGATGAGTTGCTATTGTTGTTGCTTGCTCAGTTACCGTTGCTAAAATTTTGTGATAAAAGTTTGATTTTCACATCCAGAAATTGAGATATATCGTTCAACAAGAGCAATATGGTCATGGTCGCCTGACCCTAGTGGTTAATGTGTTTCACTTAAACTGTGTTGACATTGTAGGACTGACATGGGCAAACTACAGCCCGCAGGTCAAATCCGGCCAAATTTAATTTGTCCCACCTGATGCTGCCATAACCAAACTAAAACTAAATTTTGTTGTTTTAGCTAAAAAAGATAGCTCGAGGAATTTGTTGAGATTGCGATTAAATTTAGTTTTGGCATGAGACTTATTGTTTTCCACTTTTGCTTTTGTAACACTAAGTATCGTTCAAAAAATCTAACTTTTCACCTTATACTTACATGGCCCGTCATTCTAGATGGGCAAACTTTCTGGCCCCTAGTCTAAAAACCTTGCCCACTCCTGTTGTAGGTTACACATCTCGGGTTTCTCTCATCCCACCACCTCACCCGGGTGTGATAAATATGGTTCTTTATAGATTGGTATATCTGTGACTACCTGAGCATAAGCAGGATTAAGCATTGTATAACAAAATGAAAATTACTCACTGAGTGCAGGTGTGGTTGTTGGTCTGCAATCTATTACAAGATATTGTATTGTGAAGTATTTTGTGTAACCAGCATAGCCTCTGGAATTGTATTGTATCTTATATGGACTTCCTCCAGCTTCATTCCATGGAATGATTGAATCACAGGTGTGGTTTGCATCTGGAATTTTCTCTCTGATTTTGTTGATGTTGCAAATGATTGATGCTGTTGCAAATGCAAGACAATAGTTGCTTGGGAAATCGCATTTGTATCCATCCGTGCCTGCATAAATTACATTAGTATTGTTGAGCTAATTACAATTGTCCCAGACCATTTGATACTTGTAGAACAATTATATTGCTCTAACAAGTGAAGCATCATTTGTTTTTAATTACTTTATACTTGTATTGTACTGAACACTTACTCGGGAATCTGATTTCTCCAGAGCAGTGTGTACTTCCACTATCAGTTGTCCTCGGAAATGAAAATTTTTTTAACAACAGAACAACAGCAGTTTCATGATCTGTGTCCATATCTTCTGGTATTGTCCAATCACAGTTGCAGTTGTATTCATTACTTGGTCCATATGTGATATTCTTGCTCTCTGTTCCAAGTATTGTATTTGAACATTCTGTACATCGGGCTGATATAGTGGAATTGATGCTATAAGCTGTGAAATATACAATAATATGACTGTATGCCTATATGTAATATTCTTTCTTTCAGTTCCAAGGAACTGAATTTGAATTTGGAACTTATTTGTTTATGTGTAACTTTTATGCAAGTAAGATCTCACCAATTATCTGCATAAACAACCATTTGCAATTGAAGAGATTTGAATGTTTCCACATGTTGAGTTTATCTTCAGTACTCCTTTGAACTTCTCTTTGCTTTGTTTCTTCAATCACTCCATTCATTACACAGTACTAACATAGATAAAGACAAAGTCTAACTGACAAAATACAAGACCTGCCTCAACACTTGATGTAACAAGCTTCTGATTTATATTCAGAATCTCTCCTTGTTAATGTGAACCAGTGACTGTTAAACACCTCCTTATGTTGCTACTATGTAATGATTACTGACTTTTATTAATATTATGATTAATGACGTGGGAAATATCGACAACATAACATAAATACAACATAAAGGCGATATACTTGTGCCATGTATTATCATGCATTATTGTTTGTCATTTGTATAGGAGTGTAAGATTTTCTTTGTTACAATTTAAAACATTTGATTCATAGGTCGAACAGTCATTAAACAGGTCAGTTGCTAGTGGTGGATGAATATTATTTGGAATTGCTAATATAATTACTTATTGATATATTTATAGATTACTCGGCGCTCTAGAAGTATATGTACCAATATGGAGGTAACTAATTTTGTTCGCCTACTTTACATCAAGTTGTATAAAGGCACTAATACCCTCCGAACTTGTAATAGATATAAAATAAGGAAAATTGGAATAAAATTATGGCCTAACCCTAAGCTGGTACATATACTATGCCAGTACTGATTACTTAACTATAAGACTGAGTGCTGTTCTGAAATGAGAAAATACTCTTTTGGGCCGTTTTGGAAAAAAAACATTTGTGATGTCAAACCTACTGTGAAGTTTAAGTGAGAAAAATAATTCAAAAGAGTTTCCCTCTATGTCTAATGATAGAAACTAAAATTATTAGTAATGCTTACTGATGATTGTTTCATCAAATACTGCTGATTATAGATATTTATTTCGAGTCTATAGGAGATTGAATTATCACTCATAGGTGGAGAAAGTGTCAGAATGTCAACCGACAATCAGGAAGTACGACATCTTCAGATATTCGTACATTGCAAGATGAAGTGTTTTTTTAGTAAAACTGACAATTATTTTGTGCTTATCAGTTTATTAGTTTAAATTATAGTAATGTAGCTTGATTAGGCAATGAATTCATGTGTTTCTTTATTTTAAGTTGGAGCTATATCTTGAGTCACCATAAATGGTAGATTATTTAGCTTTTGAGATCAAATTTATTTTTATTTGCCTTCAACTGACGATAAGGAGTTGGTAAAGTTGGAAACTGGCAAACTATATTTTTTATTTATTTCAGCAGTCATATATTTCAGTAGATGAGGCTTTGATCAGAGTTAGAGTTTTATTGTTTTATTATGATTTGTGATTACAACCACTGATAACTCTTCTTACTTCTTAAATGAAGAAAAACAATCCTTATTGTGATTTACTTTTCTTTTCTACTATTTTGGTTAAGTCTTCATGAGAGTAAAAGATTTCTTGGGATATAACCTGTCTTTTTCATTGAATAAATCTTCTTTATTAACCAGACTTTTGCTTATAAAAACTTCCAAACTATATCAGACATATGTATAATTTATTTCATTCATTTTACAGAATCTGTGTGACAACATAATTGTTAGAATAGGAAGTTGAAAAAGGATACAAAATAGAAATCAGAAATCAGGCAAGTCATTCTTAGAATTTAGAATCAGTTTCAAATTTAATGCTATCAAGAAACTTGTAAAAATACTGACATTTGTGGGTTATCAAATGGTCCTTAATAAGAAAGGGTTTTAAATATACTTCTACTTAGCAGTAATTACTTGAAGTTACTTAATTAATTAATTATTCAGTTGTTTTTGATTCTTTGTTCGTATTTTCACATTTAAGTTTTTATTGTGAGTAGACTGTTAATGCCTCAGAAGCATAGTCGTCTCGACATCTCATGCAAGAGATCTCGATTGGTCTATTGATAATCTACTCATGCACATGGTATGATATGCTGAGTGGCTGCTTAGCTAAAGTTTCACCCAGTTAAAACAGTGCATGTAAAGTTCTTTCAAAGTAGTAATTATAGATAATTGTAAATTGGTATAATATATGTAAAATGTTGTAAATGAATATTTTACAGATGTAAACAACTTCTAAATTATTCAGTAGGGCTGATCAAAGTTTAGTTCATATTTTTGCCAAAATTTATGTTTCAAAATTTCTGTGGCAAAGTTTTGTGACTGGGAAAAGGATCTGTCCGAGCTGTTAATTCTCATATTCATATTCTTTTCCAGTTGTCATAACTTCGTATTGTTGTTCATTCTTATTATCAACTTGAATCGGAACTTCATATCCACTTTGTTCATTCTTATTATCAACTTGATTCGGAACTTCATATCCACTTTCATCTGCTGTTGGTGTGTAGTTTTCATATGTTGTTCGTTTATGGACAGTTGGCTCTTGATGTTGAGTGCTTCCCATTTCCATTGAATCTTTGTTCTTCAATTTCTTCTTGTTCCTGTTGCAATACCTGGGTTAAAAATATTTAATAGCATATTGTTTAATCATATTCGAACAAAACCTGTTATGACTTATGCCTAGTTCTCAAAACAATATTCAATAGCAATATACAAAGTGAAAGTAACGAGGGGAAAATATTGCTACTGTTGTTTTACTTCTTACCTTTGTATGAAAGACATTGACAAAGCTCCAAAAATAAAACCAACTATTCCTGAAACTGGAATTGCGATGATCAGTGAAGCAGAACTTCCATTCATTCCCATGGTAATGGTGATGTTTTTGTCCAAATCATATATGGAATGAGAATTAGTTATGCCTGAATCAGATTGTGCTGTTTGCGTCTCAGCTTCGGTAACTAAAATTTATAATAATTTTGACTATGATTGTGTATTGGATGATTGCTATTGTTTCGACGAATAAACTTTTATTACTTTTGTTTTTTGTAGTCCATTCAGTTTTTTGTGTTGTCGAAATTCCTATTTGATTTTTTGTTGTTGTTTCCCATCCATTTGCTGTTGCTGTATTTAGAAAAAAAAATCCTTTTCAGTGTTGGATGTTTTACTGTTAAACTGAATGTTTTTGCTGTTTATGACTTACTTGGTTTAAAAGTGGTTGTTGGAGATCTGCAATCTATCACAAGATATTGGATTGCTAAGTATTTTGTGTAACCAGCATAGTTTCCTGTATTGTATTGTATCTCATATGGACTTCCTCCAGCTTTATTCCATGGAATGATTGAATCACAGGTGTGATTTTCAACTGGAATTTTCTCTCTGATATTGGTGATGTTGCAAATGGTTGATGCAGTTGCAAATACAAGACAGTAGTTGCTCGGAAATTTACATTTGTATCCATCAGTGCCTGCACAAGGTAAATTGTTAATGCTGAATATATTTTACTTCTGAAAAAGGTTGAATACTTACTTGGAAATCTTATATAACATACTTAATATACTTTACCTGGGAATCTGATTTCTCCGGAGCAATCTGTACTACTGCTACCAGTTGTCAATGGCAGGGAAACATTTTGTAACAACAGAACAACTGCAGTTTCATGATCTGTGGGCATACTTGTTGGTATTGTCCAATCACACCAGCAGTTGTATTCATCACTTGACCCATATGTGATATTCTTGCTCTCTGCTCCAAGCATTGCATGGGAACAACCAGTACATTTTGCAGCTTCATTCAAGCTGATACAAAGTGCTGGCGAAATATATTTCTTAAATTCATTATTATTTTAAATTTTTTCATTATATTATATTCTTGCTTTCTCTTACAAGTAATGTATTTGGGCAATCATCACATGATGTTGCATCATTCATACTGATGCTAAGTGCTATGAAGATATATTGATATTGGTCAATATTGTTTAATACAATATTTTTATTTTTATTTTATAAAAATCCAATATAAAAAAAAAAGATATAAGTTAAATCCTTCAAATGTTTTTGCAGGCTCATAAAGCCAAAAACGCACTTGTACATATAGAATTAATATAATCTCAATCTTCTTACAGGGTTTTAAGTTATAGTGTATACAACTCTATTATTCCTGTTTTTAAACAATTGAGCAATCTATTACTAATGGAAATCTAATATTAAAATTATTGTTTTGTGATTAAATTTTGATGAGAATTCATTGGCGTCTTACGTTTTTAGTTAACAAATGTAGACATATTTTTTCATGTTCAACTAATTTTTTAAGTGTGATCTCACCAATTATCTGCATAAACAACCATTTGCAATTGAAGAGATTTGAATGTTTCCACATGTTGAGTTTATCTTCAGCAACTTCTTTGAACTTCTCTTTGCTTTGTTTCTTCAATCAGTTAATTCATTACACAGTACTGACATAGATAAAGACAAAATCTAACTGGCAGAATACAAGACCTGTCCCAACACTTGATGTAACAAGCTTCTGATTTATATTCAGAATCTCTTCTTGTTAATGTGATTAAGTGACTATGAAACACCTCTCTCTGGTTGCTACTACGTAATGATTACTGACTTATATTTAATACTAGATTTAACAATGTGGGCGAAATATCATTACAGTAGATTGATGATCTTCTGCTTGTTTCACATATTATCTTGACATCTTGTAGGAGTGTAATAATTTCCTTGTAAGTAATAAATTTGACATTTGATTCATAGGGCAACCAGCTAGATTTTAAACTGTTTTTGCTATTGATTGAAGAGTAAAAAGTTAGCAAGGTCATTGGTGCTGTTAAGAAATGGAGAAATCATTTCTTAAGCTAGGCTGCAAGAAATGATTGAGATAGTAAACTTACAAAAAATTTGAATAAGGTTTTTTCATATTATTGGGGACTGTTTGATGAGAGTTTTACTAGATATTGACCATCCATTAATGGATAATTTGAATCTTGCCCCGCTTTTGTATACTTCTGCAACCATGCCACTTATCTTAATTGTATGAATTTCACTCCATGTGAATACACTAAAACTTACAAGTTGGTGTATAATATCAGTGGTCGGCAGACTGTGGCCCTTGTTGGCAAACTGTGGCACTCTTTCAATAACCTTTAACTTTAATTCAATTTTTTTTCGATAACTTTCAATAACTTTTAACGCATAAAAACAAAAATTGCTCATAAATTTATTATTAATCTGCGCATGGATTTATCTCATAACAATGGCTGGTATTTGATGTTAGGTTTGTTGTGAATGGGGTAAGTGAAAGCAAATGTCTGTTGTATGCCATTTACTTGTTGAATGGGGCAACTGCTACTTGCATATATCAATTTTGTTTGGTTAGATTTTTACAATTCAGCAATGCAATGCCTGGGAAACATATAAAAGTTTGCGACAAGGATCAAACATTTCAAAAATATTTCTTGTTGAGCTTTATTCAAAATCTGTTTGTTAGATCAGCCAAACTAGTCAAGAGTGCACTATAATTTGAATTTTAATTTGGGAAATTAATGTAGCTCGCACCTTATAAAAAATGTGTTAGTTAATATCAATTAAAATTATTTATAAATGAATAGTTTGAATTTAAAATCTAGTTGAATAATAAATTTAAAAAATCAATTCTCAGATAATCCGAGCACAAATCATAAGTCGATGTAGCACGGTGGTTCACTGTGTTGTCTATATCAGTGGTTCCCAACCCCTGTCATATTACGACGTCTTTCGCGGCATCTTGGCGCCGAGTAATCACACTTTTCGTTTTTTTGGCTCTGATTCCTCCCGAGTGCGCTTCATCAAATCTCGCAAATATGACCATCCATATAAAACGGTATGCATATTTTGCATAGGCTATTTCTTTGTTTAAACCAGAAAACAGTCTAGATTAGTATAATATTCCAGTAAGTAAGATATGAACTTGTTGCGACCCTGCAGGGGGTCATGAGACGCGCAAAGAAGCATGGGCCGCTGAGATCTTTTCCAGTATTTTGGTCAGACACAGTAGGATTATGAGCCTGGTCACAAATTACCGACGACTTTGTCATTGTAATTTGTAATGTAAGTAAATTCATTTTGTTTGAGGCGATCATCTGCAGAAGAGGTAATATGATAAATCAGAAGCAAAAGAAAAAGCTTGATTAAAACTGTGTCCAGATTTAAAAAAGAATCACTGTCACAATTTTGGATAGCTCTGATAACGAATACCCATCGCTAAGTAATCGAGCAATCAAACTGTTGTTCGTATTTTCAACCAGTTACTTATGTGTTATGCGATAAAATATTTTCATCACTAGCTTCAATTAAAACTAGCAAGGAAATTGACTGCACACCGCTGCAGAGCTATCTGTTGCAGAAACATTTTTGAAACCTTGTTTACAATCCTATATTGGAAACGAAACAGCAACAAAATTCCCACTAAAGTTAATTATGTTTGTTAATGATTTGGCATGTACATGTTTTTATGTGAGATGTTTTAATGTGTGCCTTTATTACGCATAATGGATGCATATCATTACATTTCATTACGCAAATATATGGTATTTTTTTATGTTTCACCCATTTCAAGTTTTGGTTAGCACATTATTTAGTAGTTTTGCTTTGTGTGTAATGTTTTTAAGTGCGCCTTTTTGTCTAGAAGTATATTGAGTGACAACATTGCATTATGTAACGCAAATATATGTTATTCTTTTCTGTTCCAATCATTTCTATTTTTTCGCCGGTCCTAGAGTACATTCAATTTAATTTTACCTGTCCGCCAGGGTAGAAAAGTTGGGAACCGCTGGGCTATATGAAAGTTACCTCTCTACACAGTTGGCCTAATTAATTATCGTTTAAATGATTAACTGTTGTTAATTGCCATTCTCTATCTTTCAACATGTCTACAATTATTTAATATTTTTTAAAAGTGGGTCTTTGTTTTTGGTATGGGGCAATATCCACAGTCACCGTAAATGGTAGGTTACCTAACTTTTGAGATCAAATTTTTTTTGTTATTATAAAGGAACTGAAACCTATGGGCAGGGGCTATATTCACTTGGCTAACACAGACAATTCCCTGAATTGTAATGAAACTAAAATGAGGAAAATCGGAATAAAATTATGGCCTAATCCTAACCTGGTACATATACTACAAGGGTACCCATTTCTCAACTATAGGACTGGTTCCTGTTCTGAAATGAGTAAATGCTTTCGTAGGTCATTTTGAAAGAAAAAATTGTCAAAGATAGGTCAAACCTACTGTAATAATAATTTCTAATCTTATAAATCCTGGAAATTGATTCAAATGTATTTATTGTATAATTGTATAATTCTGGTATTCAGGAAGTTGAATTATCACTCATAAGTGAAGAAAGTGTCAGAATGTCAACCGACAATCAGAAAATATGCCATCTTCAGATATTCGTACATTGCAAGATGTTTGTACATGCAAAGTGTTTTTTTAGTAATACTGACAATTTTTTTTTTCGCTTATCAGTTTATTAGTTTAAATTATAGTAATGTAGCTTGATTAACCCTTTCTGTGCGGTGGGCACGTATACATACCAACGACAAAAGTCGCTAGATTGCGGCGGGTACGTTGATGTACTCCACTGTTTTATTTAGCAATCGGTCGCAAACTGTTGGTCTAGTTTTTCCGGGTTTTATCTTCTTCGAGATTAACATAAGCGACAGTAAATCTCGCTTTCGTTTATGACGGGAATTTTATTTGCGGCGGAACGAGGGAGTGTTTTTTAATTTATGCAAATTTTGGTGTTTTTTGGGTGGTAATAGAAGACATATTATCCCTTCTATCTACCAAAGTATTTTGAGTTAGATCACGAAATTGCTACAGCAATATTATGCTATTGTTTGCCAAGGATTTAGCGAATATTTCTATTTTTATCACGATTTGAAGTTTCAACTCCCAAGAAAAAAAAATGCCATTTTTCTATCCGGTTTGTGACTCAGACCACCATTTTAAAAAAACATTTCTTTTTAATCGCCAATTGCAAGCTCTTTAAATAAGCTTTCCAACGAGCCGTCAGTGGGCAGCAGAGGATCATTAGTTTTTCGTTAATCGATCGATTAGTTGTGGGGGTACAAATGCATAAAATCGGGGTAGCAAATACGATTATTTAATAAAAAATAAAAATCGCATAGAAAGGGTTAAGCAATGAATTCACGAGTTTCTTTATTTCAAGTTGGAACTATATCTTGAGTCACCATAAATGGTAGATTATTTAGCTTTTGAGATCAAATTCTTTTTTTTCGCCTTTAACTGACAATAAGGAGTTGGTAAAGTTGGAAACTGGAAAAATTATGTTTTTTTTTATTCCAGCAGTCATATAGTTCAGTAAATAAGGCTTTGATCAGAGTCAGAGTTTTATTATGATTTGTGATTACAGCCACTGATAACTCTTCTTACTTCTTAAATGAAGAAAAACAATCCTTATTGTGATTTACTTTTCTTTTCTACTATTTTGGTTAAGTCTTCATAAGAGTGAAAGATTTCTTGGAATATAACCTGCCTTTTTCATTGAATAAATCTTCTTTACTAACCAGACTTTTGCTTATAAAAACTTCTCAACTATATCAGACATATGTATAATTTATTTCATTCATTTTACAGAATTTGTGTGACAACATAAATGTTAGAAGAGGAAACTGAAAAAGGAAACAAAACAGAAATCAGAAATCAGGCAAGTCATTCTTAGAATTTAGAATCAGTTTCAAATTTAATGCTATCAAGAAACTTGTAAAAATACTGACATTTGTGGGTTATCAAATGGTCCTTAATAAGGAAGGGTTTTAAATATACTTCTACTTAGCAGTAATTATTTGAAGTTACTTAATTAATTAATTATTCAGTTGTTTTTGATTGTTTGTTCGTAATTTCACATTTAAGTTTTTATTGTGAGTAGACTGTTAATGCCTCAGAAGCATAGTCGTCTCGACATCTCATGCAAGAGATCTCGATTGGTCTATTGATAATCTACTCATGCACATGGTATGATATGCTGAGTGGCTGCTTAGCTAAAGTTTCACCCAGTTAAAACAGTGCATGTACAGTTTTTTCAAAGTAGTTATTGCAGATAATTGTAAATTGGTATAATATATGTAAAATGTTGTAAATGAATATTTTACAGATGTAAACAACTTCTAAATTATTCAGTAGGGCTGATCAAAGTTTAGTTCAAATTTTTGCCAAAATTTATGTTTCAAAATTTCTGTGGCAAAGTTTTGTGACTGGGAAAAGGATCTGTCTGAGCTGTTAATTCTCATATTCATATTCTTTTCCAGTTGTCATAACTTCGTATTGTTGTTCATTTTTGTTATCAACTTGAATCGGAACTTCATATCCACTTTGTTCATTCTTATTATCAACTTGATTCGGAACTTCATATCCACTTTGTTCATTCTTGTTATCAACTTGATTCGGAACTTGATATCCACTTTGTTCATTCTTATTATCAACTCATATCCACTTTCATCTGATGTTGGTGTGTAGTTTTCATATGTTGTTCGTTTATGGACAGTTGGCTCTGGATGTTGAATGCTTCCCATTTCCATTGAATCTTTGTTCTTCAATTTCTTCTTGTTCTTGTTGCAATACCTGGGTTAAAAATATTTAATAGCATATTGTTTAATCATATTCGAACAAAACCCGGAATGACTTATGCCTATTTCTCAAAACAGTATTCAAAAGCAATATACAAATTGAAAGTAACGAGGGGAAAATATTGCTACTGTTATTTTACTTCTTACCTTTGTATGAAAGACATTGACAAAGCTCCAAAGATAAAACCAACTATTCCTGAAACTGGAATTCCGATCATCATTGAAGCAGAACTTCCATTCATTCCCGTGGTAATGGTGATGTTTTTGTCCAAATCATATATGGAATGAGAATTAGTTATGCCTGAATCAGATTGTGCTGTTTGCGTCTCAGCTTCGGTAACTAAAATTTATAATAATTTTGACTATGATTGTGTATTGGATGATTGCTATTGTTTCGACAAATAAACTTTTATTACTTTTGTTTTTTGTAGTCCGTTCAGTTTTTTCTGTTGTCGAAATTTCTATTGGATTCTCTGTTGTTGTTTCCCATCCATTTCCTGTTGCTGTATTTTGAAAAAAAAAGATTCATTTTTAGTGTTGGATGTTTTACTGTTAAACTGAATGTTTTTGCTGTTTATGACTTACATGGTTTAAAAGTGGTTGTTGGAGATCTGCAATCTACCACAAGATATTGTATTGTGAAGTATTTTGTGTAACCAACATAGCCTCTGGAATAGTATTGTACATTATATGGACTTCCTCCAGCATTATTCCATGGAATGATTGAATCACAGGTGTGATTTGCAACTGGAATTTTCTCTCTGATTATGTTCATGTTACAAATGGTTGATTCAGTTGTAAAAACAATACACTGGTTGTTTGCAAAATCACATCTGTGTCCACTAGCACCTGCACAAAGTTCATTTTCATTAACAACTAGTTTTACCTACGTAAGAGTATTGAATACTCACCTGGAAATCTGATTTCTCCTGAGCAGTCTCTACTTCCACTACCAGTTGTCATTGGCAATGAAACATTTTGTAACAACAGAAGAACTGCAGTTTCATGATCTGTCTCCATACTTGTTGGTATTGTCCAATCACATTGGCAGTCCCGCTCATTACTCGGTCCATATGTGATATTCTTGTTCTCTGTTCCAAGTGTTATTTTGGGACAACTAGGGCATTGATATGCTTCATTCACATTGATCATAATAGCTGAAAAAATATACAAGATATTCATTTCTCATTCTATATTATTTATGCTTACTGTAGATTGGTGTAATATTTTCAATATTCACACTTAATATATAAAGATCATATCGGATTTCTTCATTTTGACTGCTAGTTTTACTATATCGGTGCAGTTGTGTGTTCATAGCATCTGTACCGTTCACCTTCAATCAATTGTTTTTCATGGACTGGTACAAGATATTTGTTGTCCTACCAGAACAGGTTAAGCCCACTTTTGAGCACTACATCTAGAATTGCAGTAATATGTGCTGCTTTGGGTACTAAATATTTGGTAATATATAATAATAATACTTCTGATTACCCTGCTCTGGTTCATAAGTTTTAATCTTGTAGAAGATAAACTAGTTAACTATTCCCATATCCAACATGGAACTGGCATAGAGGCCATAATTTGTCATATGACAAGATGATTTGCTCTCTTCCAGTATAAATATGAATAAATCCTATTAGTATTCTATGTGGAAAATGTTTTTACCAAGGAGAATCCATATGCTGCTTTGGCAGGTCATCATTTTTAATATTGAATCCATATCTATTTTCTCTGAAGTCTCTTAGGTAGAGATTTTAAATCTAAGATGCAGCCCAGACTGTAATGCAGATGAGTAATGTCACTTCCAAGAATTTACCTCAGTCTTCTTTACAAAAATATTTTATTTCAAGATGTTACATTCTAAATATATTTCTACTAAGCTTGAGCTAACTTTCAAATAACCAAAAATCTTCATTTTATCAACTGTCAGAGATATTGAACCAAGACGTGGTCACAGTTCAATGCAAGTGAGTAAAGTCAAGAATCTACCCCTTATCTTCTTTAGGAGTCTTCTATTTTGAGCTTTAAGATTCTAAGTTTGTTTCTACTGAACTTTAGGTTTCTTTCAAGAATCTAAAATATTCAATATATTTGTTAGATTGTTAGTAATATTTAACCAAGGCGGGATCCCCATGCTAATACACTTGTAACGTCACTGTCAAGCATTTACCTTATTAACCTTCTTTACTGGAATCTTTTATTTTGAGATCTTGCATTCTAAGTTCATATCTGCTGATCTTTAGGTCTCTTTCAAAGATACCAAAATCTGTAATATAACAATATAACATATGTTCAATATGATATCTCACTGACATAAAAGGTGGTTGTGTATAATGCAAGTGAGTGATGCCACTGTCAAGAAACCTTCAGCTTTCTTTGCTAGGATATTATAATTTGGAACATTACATTATAACTTTATATCTACTGCGCTCAATCTGCCTTTTAAGGATCTGAAACTTTTAATTTATTAACTGTCGAAAAACCTTAAATTTATCGACTGAGATATTGAATCAAGGCAGGGTCACACTTTAAAACAAATTAGTTAAGTCACTGTCAAGAATTTACCTTAACCTTCTTTACTGAAATCTTTTATTTTGAGCTCTAAGATTCCAAGTTTATTTCTGCTGATCTTTAGATCCCTTTTAAGAATCTTAGATCTTCGATATATCTGTTAAACCGATGGAATTATTTAACCAAGGCGGGATTCCCCACCTAAAACACAAGTAACGTCACTGTCAAGAATTTACTTTTACCTTCCTTACAAAAACATTTTATTTTAAGCTCTCACTTTTTAAGTTTATATCTGCTAATCTTTAGGTCTCTCTCAAGGATCCAAAATCTTTAATAAATCTGTTAGACTATTAGAAATATTTACCAAGGCGGGATAATATACATAATACACTGTACACTATAATACACGAGTAACGTCACTTTCAAGAATTCACCTCAACCTTTTTTACTGAAATCTATTATTTTGAGATCTTATATTCTAGGTTTATAGCAGCTGAGCTTTCGTTCTCTCTCAAGGATACTAATCAAGGATACTAAAATCTGTAATATAACAATTGTTTAATATAATATTTCACTGACTTAAAAGGTGGGCAGCATACTGTAAACTGTTGTCTGTACTTAATTGAATATATGTCTGTCATTTTCTTATCACATTGTGTACATTATAGTAATTTTAATTTCCCTTATCATATGTTGACAGTTGTGTCAGTCAGGCGTTCGTGTAGCTTCCACTAACTGTATATTATAAAAGGATATGCATTCTATCTGTTATATTCAACTCTTGTTTTGCTCATTATTCTTTTTACATCAATGTACATCGTATTATATGTGTGGAATCAAATCAGGCAATGGCATGAATATAGGCATGAGTCTCAGTTCAAGTCTGAGTCGTTCTTTTTATAATTTTTTTTTGGCTTTTCTTGATCATTTCCTTGATGGAAGTGTGGGTTGATTATCATTATTTGGATTCCTTTCAATATTTTATTTTGGCTTTTTTTTATTTTTTCCTTGATGAGAGGTGTGGGTTGATTATCATAATAATGGCATGGTAACTTTCTAATAATAATAGCATGAAGTTAAGAATATAATATAACAACGCCAACACTATGAACGTACCATATTGCAAATATAATTCAATCTTTCTCAATATACGAACTTTTTCTCGGTAGTCCCGTAGTATGTGTACCATGTTATAGTTAGGCCAGAGTTTTATTCCGATTTTCCTTATTATAGTTCTTTTACGAGTTCGGGGACTGTTTGTGTTAGCCAAGTGAATATACCCCCTGCACATAGACTTCCGCCCCTTTACACAACTTGATGTAAAATAGGTGAACAAAATTAGTTACCTCCACATCGTTACACATACTTCTGGAGCGCCGAATTTAAAAATAAAATGGATGTCTTCCTGACCCTTGACTTCAGAAAAAATATATTCTAAGCCTCACCATTGTAAAATGTTTGATGCTGATATTGAGAGTGTTTGTTATAATATTATATATTAGCTTGTTATATTGCCTGTTGCAGATTTACAGTATTGATTTTTGATTGATGCAACTAAACTTAAACTCTTCAGAAGACAAATTTTCTATTGAGATATTTGATTCATACATAAATTTTAGAAAACACAACTAAAAACTGACAAATAGCTAGCAAATTCCCAGAAAACTAATGTTTAAGACCATGTCTGAAAATTTTTCTGAATAAAAAAAGTGTTGTGAGCATCTGGTAAAATTTTAATTGTTACAACTCCTATCTATGACATCTTACTGATTAGCCATTGTGGCAGAAGCCGATGCTAGGGGACTCATTCATGGTCAACCTTAGCCAGTCAAAGGTAAACTAATCACTCAAGTACTGAACCCAGCAGTGCCTTGTTCAGCCCCATGAAGCAAAGTCTTTTCTTATATTTTATATGTACTTTTTTTATATAACACTCGTACAGTTGGAATATTGGGAACTACTATTCGTTTTTGTGAAATTTGTCATTTCATGCTGTATAGTAATATTTGTGTGAAATGGGAGTCAGCTAAGCTTTAAAATTATGTTTGCACCTCTGATTATCGCAGGTTCGAATTCTAAGGAAGATAAATTATTATTGGTCTCCTTGCTGTTTTTGGGTGTATCTAACTAAACTGTCACAGCTTCCTTCATCATCAAGTTCATGCACGACTGACTTGCCATTTTCAAAACGATGCTATTCATATAACTCACCCTCAGCGTCATGTCCAAACCTTTTTCTCATGTTACATGACAACATAATAAGGCAATAAAAAGTTAAAGAGCGCTTTAAAACACTTCCAGTCCCGGAATTCAACACCAAAGGGTACTAAAGCCCATTACAGCATAATGGCTAGAAAAGGGTTTTACTGGCTCAGCCATATCGCCCACGCAAGCATTAGGAAATAATATTGTGGTGAATGATGATGTAACTGACATGCAATATTGCATTATGAAAATGATGGATTGACAAAAATAAATGATAAAATTACAGTATAACTCAAACTAGGTAAACAAATATAGCTCATTTTGAGGAAGAGAACTATACTTTCTTGTTCATGTTTGTTTATATAGTTTCCTGTGACTAATTGATGGAGTCACATCATTCTTATTGTCTTTATGTGATTAGCTAAAGAATGCTTTGATAGAGGTTATTTCTTCTCTTATTTTTCATATTCAGATTCTTTCTTACATTTTATCTCCTCATATGGTCTTTCATTCTCATTATCAACTGGAATTATAACTTCGTATCCGTTTTTCGTTTGAAGTTAGTTCATGATTGTCATATGCTGCATTTTTCATGGAGTTATGTTGATGATGTTGACTGCTTTGCGTTTCCATTAAGCTTTTCAATTTTTTTTTTTCTCAAGAACCTAAATTACAATCATTTTTACAACTTTCAATAATGTGGTTGTGGTGCGCTGACATTCGCATTCACAGCCTTTTCATATTTTATTCGACTGGAATAAAAATGTAATTCTATTCGTTTCACTAATATTAATTAAAATGATACGAAATAAAGATTTTTTTGTTGTATATTAAACAGATTGTCCGCCAAATGAGAGTAAGAGAAACTCTTCTGTCAAAAAAAAACAACATATTTTATAGTAATAATAAAGCCCTGGTAATACAGAATTAGTTAGGTTAGGACATAGAGCAGCCATTTCCAGAAGTTTTATATATTCCGAGCATCAAAAAATATAAACTAAACAATTTATTGGGCTTGAAATATCTTAATTTAACAAAATAGCAAACTGTATTGTTTACCTCTGTATCAAGCAAGTTGTCAGAACACCAATGATGATTCCAACAATAAATCCTGATGCTGCACTCACTGCAATCATTGGTGAAGATGTAGATCCCAAGTTTTCAATACATTTGTGATCTTCAACAGCTGCTTTCGTGTTTGTAGTCATTTCTAGAGTAATATTATTTGGGTGTTAATATTTTTTATAAGACTTGTATGTATGTTTTGAAGAACTGGAATATTTTCAGTCCGTCATTGCCAACCCAATTTTGCAACCTCTCTCTTTGCAAATCGATTATTCACAAACTAAATACTACTGGGCTCAGAAACATTTTATATATACAATCAACCATGAACTTACGTAATTCATTCATACCAGTTGTTTTGGTGGTTTCAAAAGTTGTTGTTTCGCATATAATTCTTGCGAGTGTTACTGGAACTTTTGCCGTTTGTTTGTGTTGCATTGTTGTTACTGAAAATAAATTCACCTTTACTATGAGAAAAAATGTATTGGTGTAGATGTGCAAACCATGAAGTTTATGACTTACCTGGTTTCGATGTGGTTGTTGTTGGTCTGCAATCTATCACAAGATATTGTATTGTGAAGTATTTTGTGTAACCGGCAAAGTTGTTTACATAGTATTGTATCTTGTATGGGCTTCCTCCAGCTTTATTCCATGGAATGATTGAATCACAGGTGTGATTTGCAACTGGAATTTTCTTTCTGATTCTGCTGATGTTGCAAATGGTCGATGGGGTTGCAAATACAAGACAGTAGTTGCTTTGAAAGTCACATTTAGGATAATCAGTGCCTGTAAAAGTATTGATACAATTATGTACGGTAGTATAGTAATAGTGAAATAGTATAATAAAGCTCACTTGGAAATCTGATTGCTCCCGAGCAGTCTCTACTCCCACTACCAGCTGTCATTGGCAATGAAACATTTTGTAACAACAGAACAACTGCAGTTTCATGATCTGTGTCCATACTTGTTGGTATTGTCCAATCACATTTGCAGTCGTATTCATTACTTGGTCCATATATGATATTATAGCTCTCTGTTCCAAGTATTGTAGATGAGCAATCAACACATGGTTCCCATGCTTCATTCAGACTGATGCTGAGTACTATGAAGA